CGTGCGTAACGCCATCTATTAGACTCGCTCTCAACTTAATCAACATCCCGCCCGCCTTGAAAACTTGAATTTTCAACAAAAGAAATATATAATAATGCGCGTGATAAAATAAACTTAGAAGGTAGCACGACATCGCTGAAAGACATTACAAATGGAATTTAAGTGGACAATCGTAATTATAATGAACTTATATATGTAAACTTATATCTTAAATAAACTAAGAAACTGGTAGAATACAGATTTTGGGTAACGTTCGCTTTACAATACCGTCCGCAGTTTTTACACTTACTACGCGAACATGACCGTTTTTATCTGGGTGGACCTCGACAATTCGTCCAAGCCTCCACTTGAGAGGCGGTAAATGATCATCCTTAAGTACTACGAGCATATCGATTTTAATCTTAGCATCTTCGGCAGCTTCCCTTTTCCATTTACGCCGAACTTGAAGCTGATTCAAATATTCGGAGCTCCAACGTGACCAAAAATGCTGCTGAAGCTGGATTAAAAGCTGATAACGAGTAAGCCGATTATTTGGAACGTCTAATAAATCTGTTTGAGGTATCGCAGTCAAGGGCGTCCCGATCAAAAAATGACCTGGGGTTAACGCCGTTAGATCGGAAGGATCATTTGACATGGGCGTCAACGGCCTTGAATTAAGGCAAGCTTCGATCTCCGTGATTAACGTATAAAGTTCCTCAAAAGTTAAAGGGGTGTCACCTAATATCTTTTTTAAACGCGTCTTCGCCGATTTCACCCCGGCTTCCCAGATACCTCCCATATGAGGCGAGTATGGAGGCAGAAAGTGCCATTGAATAGTTTGTTCAGTTAAGAACTCGTTTACTTGTCGTATGTGTTTCGCATCCTGTAATAAACGTGCGAGGGCTTGTAACTCGTTATTAGCTCTTACAAAATTGGTTCCTTGGTCAGAGTAAATATTTGTGCATTTCCCCCGTCTAGCTATAAAACGTCTCAAAGAATTTAAAAAGGCCACTGTACTTAAATCGCTAACTAATTCTAAATGAAGCGCATGCGTGGCGAGGCACACGAATAGGCAAAGATAAGCCTTGGCACTTTTGTTACGCGAAATCTTAATCTTGAAAGGTCCGGCATAATCTACGCCGACGCTTAAAAACGCTCGAGTGGGTGTCACACGAGATTTGGGTAGATCCCCCATAATTTCTATGGGGCTCTTGCAATTAAATTGGTAGCACGTTAGGCATTTGTGCAATACCTTTCGAATAGTGGATCTTCCTGATATTATCCAATATTGTTCTCTAAGTATGCTTAATAACGCTTCTGCTTCTGCATGTAAATTTTTTAAGTGTGCATCGCGAATTATTAATTCTGTTAAATGATCTTGAGTCGCAAGTACGATTGGAAATTTCTGAGCGTAAGGTAATTGAGAGTTTCTCAACCGACCGCCCACTCTCACGATTCCGTCTGCGTCTAAGAACGGATTGAGACATAACAACCTACTTTTACCAGAGATAGGGCGCTTCAGTTTAAGATCTGAGATCTCCAGCTTAAAATGTTGATTCTGATGCATCCTTATGATCACACGCGTCGCGCCTTCAATCTCATCTACTGACAAAAACCCTACCTTACGTTTTGTTAACTCTTTGCAATTGTATGAAAATCGCAAACAATAAGCGATTACGCATTTCAGCCTTTTGAGTGACGAATATCGAGTTAATAGCTGGAATTCCTGTTTCACCATTGTACATACGGTTGCTCGCGATTTTTTTTCTGGAACTTCCTCTGGCAGCTTTGGTGGTGCTGGATACGAAGCCCCTCCTTCGACAAGCCAAAGAGGTCCCTTCCACCAAAGTGAGCGATCCTTCAAAACTTCTGGTGGAACTCCTTTTGATAGCATATCAGCGGGATTTTCTTGTGATTTGACATGTCTCCATTGAGAACCTTGCGATAAGCTTTGTATCTCCGAGACTCTATTTGCGACGAACGTCTTCCATCTAGACGGTTCGCCTTTAATCCAGGCTAGAATAATAGTTGCATCGCACCAATAATGCTTCTCCTGTATTGATAACTTTTAATGCCTTTTCAGTCTTGTCCATTAGTTTAGCTAACAATACAGCTCCGTTTAGCTCCAACTTTGGCAATGTGATTTTCTTTAACGGCGCCACTCTAGATTTGGCACAGATGAGATAACTTGTCCGTACTCCTAGATTGTCTGATACTAAATACAGACACGCTCCGGAGGCCGCTTCTGAGGCATCACAAAACCCATGGATCTCGAGTTTCGTGTAAGTAGCATCCACTATTAATCTTGGGATAATGATCTCTTGCAATGATGATAACGAACCGTAATAGCGCAACCAAGCTGAATGCAAATCGGCTGGCAACGATTCGTCCCAATTAAGCTTCAACTGCCATAACTTTTGAAGAATGATCTTCGCTTGTACACAAACAGGACCGATGAGTCCCAGCGGGTCGTAAATGTGCGCGATGAATGATAAGATGCTCCTTTTGGTTATACGACGATTGTTCGGCAACTCTACCTTGTACGATAGTGTGTCGGTTGTCGGGTGCCAATAGAGTCCTAATGTCTTGACTCTCTCTCCCAGTGATTGCTCATCTGAAGTCTCGCTGCTTGTTATCTCGCTGACGTTGGATCTCCATTTCCGCATCCTGAAACCTCCGGAATTAAGTACTTCGCTGACCCTTGACTGAATATTCTTAAGCTCGTCCTTGTCGTCTACTCCGGTAATCATGTCGTCTATGTAGAAATCTTCGAGTATTATTCTGCTGATTTCTGGTAAGACCTGTTGACAGTCATACCCTAATTGCTTTAAACATCGTATGGCCAAGTATACTGCTAGCGCCATACCAAATATGAGTACGTTTGACACGAATTCTTCTACTAATGCTGTCGAATCCTTCATCCAGAAGATCCTTTGCAAATCTCGATGTCCCTCATCCACATAGACCTGCCTGTACATTTTCTCTATGTCTCCTGTTATTACATAGAGATGCTGTCTAAATCGAATGAGAATAACGAATATGTCTTGTTGTAATACTGGCCCCGTTTTCAGAATGTCATTCAACGATTTGCCCGTTGATGTCTTGCTGGAAGCATTGTAAACCACTCTTAGTCGCGTTGTGGTACTCTCCTTTTTTACTACGGCATGATGTGGCAAATAATAGTAGTAAGGGCTCCTGCGGTTGATCTCCTCATCTACCTTGGTTATATGTCCCAAGGATATGTATTCTTCCATGCATGAAACATATTGTTCTTTCAAATCTGGATTGGAATTCAATCGTCTATGTAATGAACGCAGTCTCTTCAAGGCTGTTTCTCTTGAATCTCCCAGAACGCTAGAATCTTCTCTAAATGAGAGCTTGACCACAAATCTTCCCGTAGCGTCTCTTCTATAAGTGTCTCTAAACTCCCTTTCGCAATGCTCATCTTCTTTCGAAAATTTGGCTTGGGGCATACATTCCTCCAAGTTCCAAAAACGTTCCAGTTGATGGCTCAACTCCGTTTCCTCGGCGATTGCGCTAAGGACCGTTCTTTTCGTCTCTTCTTGACCGTGAGCTATGGGCGCGTTACCTCCGACAATCCATCCTAATTTCGTCTTTTGTAATACAGGTAGGTTTCGTCCCAGCTTGATCTGTCCAATGCAGAGTAAATCCCAGAAAATGCCACTACCTAATAGAATGTCGACGTCTTCTGGTGTTCCAAAAGATGCGTCCGCGATCTCGATATTCTCGGGAATTTTTAACAGTGCCTTATCTAAATTTATCGAGGGCATAGGCTCCGTTATGCGCTCCATTATTACGAAGGGAAATTCGATCTTAAACTCGTTAACCGTTGAATGTATAACTGCATGCGTGGACTCTAAGGTGTTGACTCGACCGCACCCTATTCCTGATAAAAATGTGCTACTTCTTTGCGCGGTTATCTGAAGGCGTTGACATAAACTGGCGGTAATAATGTTTGTTTGCGATCCCGCATCTAAAAAGGCCCTACATTTATGCGGCTTGCCCGATTTGTCATACATCGTGACCGGAGCGGTTGCAAGCAATACTTGGTGATTGGGCTTTGATTGAGTCGAAACTACCGAATATGTCGCTGATATGTCTGTCCGTTTCGACTCAGTTAATACTGCATTTGAACTAGCTCCTTTCGTAGAAGCTTCTAAATTTTCCTTCTCGTTTGTCGTTACAGCCTTAGATCCGAATTCTTCGTCGTGCAATAATGTATTATGTTTTTTGCCGCATTGCTTGCAGCCGCCCGCGATACATCGATTCGCCATGTGATCTGCGCGTAAGCAGTTGAAACATAATTGATGCCGCTTAACCTCCTTTCGCCTATCGCTTGTAGATAAACTCTTGAACGTATTACAACTATAAAGCGCGTGTTGACCCTGACAAATAATGCAACCCTTTGAATCGCTCTGACTAACATGCGACGCCACACTATCGCTTTTTTTATTCGAGATTCCTGATGCTTGAGGTTTGGGAGCTGCTTTTTCGGATTGCAACGTTTCCAAGATTGCGCACTGCCTAGATAAGAATTGAATGAGCTCCTGCAGTTTCGGAACGTTATTGTCTTGTAAGCTCGCCTCCCATTTTCGTCGAGTAGCATTGTCCAGTCGAGATGCGATCATGTGAATGACGAGGCTATCCCAGTTGTCTACTGGCTCACCTAGTGTCTTCAATGCCCTGAGATGTTTCAGCGTATCGTCTATCAATTTTCTCAATAGCGTGCCTGATTCCCTAGTCAAAGAGCTCATTTCGAATAAACCTTGAATGTGATAGTGTATCAATAATCGCTTGTTTTCGAAACGTGACTTCAATAAATCCCACGCGATTACATAATTATCAGCCGACATCTCTAATGATTGCAATAATTGAGCGGCGTTTCCCAATAAGCATGACTTTAGATAATAAAACTTCTGTATGTTCTCCAAATCCGCGTTACACTCGATTAAAGCATAAAATGTATCCCGAAATAATAACCATTGCGAATACGTACCGTCGAATTTTGGCAAATCAAGCGTCGGTAACTTAACCTTTTCCTGATGTGACATACCTTCCATTCT